AATTTAAGAATGAAATAAAAAATATTTATCTTTAATATAATATAGAAATTTGTGTTCTATACAGATAAACAAAAATCCAATATGAATAAAAACAAAGGGTTGTAGCTTCCGGCAGAATCCAATATAAGACACATGCTGACAAGACAGGCCTGACCCAAAATTTGAATATTCAATTTTCAATTCGCTTAATATGGTAAAAATGTGATGCTATGCAACCTGCCAAACCACCAAGTTGTGCGTTGCTGCCTAAGCAAAAAAGAGCCAAGAATTTTTTGCAAATATAATCTACAAGAATTAAAAAAAAATCTGTCAAAGTAGATAAAGATTGGCTTGGTATGATTTTTCTAGTATTAAGTAACTCTAATTGTAAATATAATTAAAATTATTTTTTTCTCCCTTTTTATTTGCCTTCTGGTTAGTTGCTTATTATTATTTTTAATTTGATTCAGTGTTCAAACTGTCAACAAAACCATATTTCTACATTGTTTAATTTTTATATTGTTGATACTTATTTAAATCCGTCATTGTTGCTATGCTGACCGAGGAACGATGTCTTTTCTCGATTTTCTTGTCCTGCTCTGGGCCTTGATTTCTCGTCTTGAAGGATGGATGCTTTGGGAGATAATTAAAATTTTAGTGACAGGAAAGGCGTATGAGCTCAAAATTATCATCGCTTCGTTTTTGGTCAGTATTACTTCTACTCTGTCACTAGCTGTTGAGTTAGTTTAATTATCCATGCACTTTTAAAATTCTCTCCCTTTTTACAAAAGGCTGGAATGATTACCGTTTTCCTGATATACAAGGGTCTACAAAGAAACCATTAAAATTTTTGTAACTGCTGATTTCTGGCTCTATATATTTTTTTTATTTCCTGAGGATTTATTCACTGAAAGCAAAGGTATGAAAATGAACTTTTAAATAGTATTTTATTCTTGCAGTTTTATATCTGATGATTTTTAAATCTGCAATACTAGGCAGCCAAACAGAAGTTTTCTGTACCGCAGAATGAAATTGTTAATAATTAATAATAATAAATCAGCTCCATTGGCTGGAAAATTAATAATGAGGTTTGAGGGCTCAAAAATTGGCATCAAAAAATTACTGATAAAAATTGATACCTAAAAGTGAATCCTTGCTTATTTTCTCACCGAATTTGCGGAAAAAAGGAAGTCGGTAAAGCCAGCAAAGGTAATGGTGTTTGTGTGCGCACGACGCAGGCAGACAATAATTAAGTTTTGCTCTCGGGACGTCCGTTCTGGTGTTGATAATGTGTGCCCTGGAGAATAGCGGAGCTCACGCGCTCGCAAATTGCAAAAAACAGGTGACACAAGCCGACGCACATTCAAGACACAACGCACATTGTTAAGCTCTCTTTCCATCGTTTCGCAGCGTCGTCCCGTGGGGAGGAGGCGCAAACAAATAAATGGCAAAGGCGTCTAATGGCGAAAAAAGGCCAGCGAGGGCGTCGCGCTTTTGTATGTACTCGCACCGAGGGATGATTGTATGGACACGGGAGGTGCCGGTTAAGTTGGGCGAATCCAAGCAGAACCGTCGCTTTTGCTTTCTGGCCTGGAAAGCAGCAGAGGCCGCCGCACACACACACACACACACACACACACAAGATGCCGCTGTTACACACAAAGAATCAACTCTCATTAGCGCAGCACAAAAGGAGAGAGAGAGGAGGACACTGTTTTCTTTTTAACAGCATTTCTAGTGTCTGCATAAACAGGCCAACACTCAAATTCTCTTTGTTTCGGAGGCTCAATTAGCGCTCTGTTTTTTCTCATAAAAGCTTTACAACTAACATTCAGTTTATGAAGCAATTTCAATATATTTAAGCCTCTGCTCGTCATCGGCACTTATTTTAACTCATCTGATGCTATCATCAAATTTCTTTCATTTAATGTAAATTATGTACTTGTTTAACTAGAAATTTTCTTTATTAAAATTGAGGCCGTTCTCCAGTAAAACTAAAATTTTGAAACCAGATTCAGCGTAAATAAATTATAATAAGCTTCTTTTGGAAACCCGAGACTTGATTTCCGAAATTAATTTATTCTTCTCTGGTGAATAATCCTGCAGCTAAAAGTTGAGAGAGAGCAAAAGCAACTCACTAAGTTGGTTTCTTTTTGCAAAGTCAAAAACTTTATGCAGCCTTTGGAGATGTTGCGCGAGAGGCAAAACTTTGCGAGTGTGTGTTTGCTGCGGAATAAATTCCCACATGAATTAATTGTTGTGAAGAATAATTTTAAAGGTCCCAATAGACGCGGAGAAGTTTCCTCCGCCTGCATAAATAATTCAATTAACCGCTGCGTTCTCTCTCAGCGCGCCGTACTTTTTACTTATTTTCGCACCTCCTTTTTTGTTCAGGCTAAAAATTGGGTCACAAAACTGCCCCGCGCCGACCAGCAGAGAAAGAGGCGGAAAAGGGCCAGAAGGGAGGATATTCTCTCACCCTATCACTTCGTCGAGGGTGATGCAATTTGAGTCGAGCCTTTTCTTCTGCAGTGCAGCTTTTTGGGCCGCTATTTATTTGAAGAGCCCTGCTGGGTAATTGCATCAAGTCACTTCTGATTAAGAGTTAATCCTGCACGCACAGCACACCCGCTCTTGCCCTTTTTTCCCAGCACGTGTGCAAATTTTCTCGCGCGCGCTCTCTCGCTCTCCGAGATTATAAATTGGGCTGCAGCAATCTCAGCTCCAACTTATTTGATAGCTGCCGGTGTTAATTTGATTATTTCGGCGCACGCGAACCCGCCGAAAGATAATTTGTACCCATCAAAGAGGCGCCACTCGCAAACGCGTGCACTCGTTCATTCATGCGATGCTCACTGCGCGCCCCTCACTCAAAGCGCACTGATGAAATGGACGCGTAATAATGCCTCCGCTGTCGACTCAATTTGTCACCACTCCGTGATGTTGAATGGAATTTGTCAAAATAATACTCCCACTTAGCTGGTATTAAATTTAATCAAAGACTATATTTTTTGTTTCACTTAATTCAGGACGATTTATCAAAACGCCGTGTTTGTTAGAAATATAGGGATAGAAAATTTATCAAATAATGATTTTTATATTTTCACTGTAAATTTCGAAAAACCAAAAGTCTGCATTTTTTTTTAGCAGATTACATAAAAAAAAAAATCATTTTTACCTTCGAGGCTTCTGTAAATTAGTCAATATACATACATGTATGCAAGAATACAGGTGACATAAGCCGCCGCACATTTAAGACACAACACACAAATTAGGTGGTTCTTATGTAGTTTTATAACTTATAGCATTACATGTGTAAAAAATATTTTTTTTTTAAATTTAAAAAAATGTTTATGTTCAAAAATTAGATAAAAATTAAATTTAATTCAAATTATTTTATATTATTAAGTTAAGTATAATATGATTGTTTAATTAGTTATATTTAAAAAAAATATAATTAAATTATTTATAAATGTGTAAAATTTAAAAAGTAGCGGTGTATTGTAAACAAATAACTATAAACTTATGTTAATAAAGAAAGTTGGGAGCGTTTAATTTTGTTTTGAGCACATTTTTTTATACAAAAAGATATTTTTTTGCTCTCTCTCTCTTTAGAAATCCGGCTGAAAAATGAAACCCGTTTTTTTTTGCGGACCAATATACAGATTCTACTTAAAAGGGTTACAGAAAGAAAATGCCTACGTCAGATTCTTGTGAGCTTCATTGACCTACCCTCTTTTTATTCATTAATAGGGGCGAGGCAGATTAAGAAAGGTTGACTCTCTGCGGACTTGTTATTCTGTGGCCAAGCTCTTTTATTGCGCCAACACTGCAGATTGGATCTGTATTATTATTATTATACTTTTGGTCGGCGGTGAAGATGGAAATTGATCGAGCCCTGGCGGACACTTTTCTGGCTCCTTTTCTCTGGCGCTGAAAGCGTGCACAGCTACGTCCCTTTTTTCTGGTCTCGTTGGAATCGACTCTGGCCTGCCCCAGAGGCAATGTGTGTGCGCGCTCTCCAAAAAGTTTCCATTACTTCGAATGGTGCACGCCCTGCAAAGTACAAATACAAAAGAACTCAGCCACTGTTTTTATATTTAAACCCCGCTCGAGGTTGGAAAACAAAATACTCGGTCCTTCACCCTGTAGCGATTTAACTTTATGTGTGTTTGTAACTTTCATTTTGCAGGAATTTACCATTTCCATTTTTTCAATCAATATGAGCGTGGGTTTTAATTTTTATAAAAAAAGGAAAAGCTTGATGGTAAATAATAAATTTATGAATGCTATTTTTTAAGTCAAAATTTTTAAATTTAACCAGAGCTTTAAATTTTCATTGGATTCAAATTATACACAAAATGGCTTTAAAAATAAAATAATTCCTTTAAGCTGTTCTACTCATGAAATAGATGAGTATTTGTTTTTTTATTTTTCAGAACTGTAACCAAAATTTTTAGAGCCATAAATTATTAGCGGAATTTTGAATAGGCTGTTAAGTTTGCAGTGCGGCAGGTTGTTGTGAATTAATCAATGTATCACCTCCTATGGTATAAATATACTCAGCTTGAATTTCAGAGAGCTTTTAACACGTGCATATTTTCCTCCAATTGTATGTAATAATTTGAGTAGTGAGTAGAATGATAAGTGAGAAATCAAATTGATCCAATGAAATAATTCTTTGATGACGAAAATTCAGTTTACTAAATTTCATGAATATTTCCTGTAAACTCCCAAGTGTTTAACCCTTTTCAAAAAATTATTTAAAATAAATAAAAAATTTACTAATTGTTTTAAAAGGTTTTTAGTATTTAATTTGCATTCAAAAAATATTTTAGTTTCTAGGAAACTTTAATTCCAAATCAAAAGTGAGATTATTATATTTGTGATTTACAGAGGCTAAAAAGCGAGCAGGCAGCTAGCGCGCAGGTCCCTTTCGGGGGGGTATAGTCATGCCTGCCAGCCAGGAGTGTCGGCAGCACAGCATCATCCGCACTCCGGTCCAGTCGAGTTCGGCCGATGCGAGAGAAAACACCGCGAGTGCCGCGTATCGCGTTCCCGAGTGCATGTGCCGCTGTGCTAGCGAACAAAATGCAGTTGTTGCTGCTGGTGTTGGCGGCCGCGGCCGTCGCCGCCGCCTCCGCTGCCAGGGACTCTTTGAGGTACGAGGCACCTGAAGACTGTCAGTGGTCGCCGCGGACTTCGGACGAAGTTGCCCTCAACTGCTCCCTACGAACAATAAATAGCGAGTTTGATCACACCAATTTCAGCATCATCCCCGCCGAACACACCACCTCATTGGTGGTGAATTGCGACTCCGAAGTAGAACTTAAGTCAACGCTGCCCGAGGACGCCTTTGCCCACTTAATCCGTCTCAAGGAACTAACCCTGGAGCAATGTAAGTTGCCCAAATGGCCTTCGGGCTCGCTGCAAGGTCTTGTTGATTTGCGAAATTTGACAATTCACACCGGAAACCGAAAGTGGCCGCTGGAAATAAATGCCGGCTCCTTCAAGACGATTCGATTGCTAGAAAAACTTGACCTGAGCCAGAATAATTTGTGGTCACTGCCGGAGGGGCTTTTTTGCCCGCTGGTTAGTTTGGTGTCTCTTAACGTGACTCACAACCGCCTCCAAGAAATTGCAGAACTTGGATTTCAAGTCCTAGACGCCTCCGAATCGTCCACGCCGCCACCAAAATCGCGCGCCTCGTGCGGTTTAGATGTACAAGTGTTGGAAGCATCTCACAACAATTTCGAGCAGCTGCCGGCAAAGGGACTCGGCGCACTACGGCGGCTGCAAGAGCTCCGAGTGACGGACAACGAAATCAAGTCAGTGGCGGATAAAGCGCTCGCTGGATTAAAAAATCTCAAGGTATTTGACGTGTCAAATAATAAATTGGTAGCTTTGCCACCGGGACTTTTCAAAGACTGCGTGGACATTCGCGAATTAAAATTGCAAAATAATTCTCTTGGAGTGCTCGCACCGGGCTTGTTGGCCGGTCTAGAGCACTTGCAATTACTTGATTTGTCTCGGAACCGACTCTCTAGCACTTGGTTGGACTCAGACACATTTTCAGGGCTGATTCGGCTTGTGCTGTTGGATATTTCATATAACCGAATCACCACTCTCAACCCTGATTTCTTCAAAGACCTGTACACCTTGCAAATTCTTAACCTGGAACACAATTTAATTGAAACACTGCCGGCCGACACCTTTTCACCCCTCAGCAATTTGCACACATTGGTGCTGTCTTTCAACAAGCTGGCGAACGTGGACCCCTTCTCTTTCAACGGACTCTACGCCCTTTCTCTTTTGTCACTGGATAATAATTTATTCCAGACGCTCCACATCGATTCCCTGAGAAATTGCACGTCCCTGCAAGATTTGAATTTAAATGGGAATTTGCTGACCAACGTTCCACCCGCCCTGCACGACATGCGACTCTTGCGCACGGTTGATTTGGGAGAAAATTCAATAGAGCAGCTGGAATCGCCCGCCTTCAAAGGCATGGATAATTTATATGGGCTCCGCTTGATTGGAAATCAAATCTCGAACTTGACCCGCCGTTCATTTGCTGACCTGCCGGCGCTGCAAATTCTTAACCTCGCACGAAATAATATCAGCAAAATTGAGCCGAGCACATTTGACGCCAATGAGAATTTGCAGGCGATTCGTTTAGATGCAAATTTATTATCCGACATGACCGGCCTGTTCTCAAAATTGCCGGCCCTTGTATGGCTAAATGTTTCCGACAACCAGCTCTCGTGGTTTGATTACTCACTCGTGCCGGCAGGGCTCGAGTATCTCGATTTGCACGAGAATAAAATTAAAGAGATCAGCAATGCAAAAAGACGAGACACAAATACGGCCCTGAAATTGATAAAACTCGACGTCTCCCACAATCTGCTAACTCGAGTTGGCCAAAATTCTCTGCCGAACAGCGTGGAATTAGTATTGCTGAATAATAACCAAATTACTACGGTGGATGTGCACACTTTTGTCAACAAGCCCAACTTGACCCGCGTTGATTTATATGCTAATCAAATCGTTAACATGGACCTGAACGCGCTTAGATTAACTCCAGTAAAAGAAGAACGACCCCTTCCCGAATTCTACATCGGCGGCAACCCCTTTCAGTGCGACTGCACAATGGAATGGCTGCAGCGGATTAACAACCTGGACCACTTAAGGCAACACCCGAAGGTGATGGACATTGAAAGTGTTTATTGCAGGCTGCCCTACGCACGCGACAAGAGCTTTATTTCATTAATCGATGCAGACAGTTCTCATTTTGTGTGCGCTTATAAAACTCATTGTTTTGCTCTCTGCCACTGTTGCGACTTTGACGCTTGCGATTGCGAGATGACGTGCCCGAACAACTGCACTTGTTACCACGACCAGTCATGGTCAGCCGCCAACATTGTTGACTGCTCGCTGGCCAACCACGTCCGCATTCCAGGCACCATCCCCATGGACGCCACAGAAGTTTATTTAGACGGAAATAGTTTTGGTGAGTTATCCAGTCATTCTTTCATCGGAAGAAAAAATTTGCGCGTTCTTTATGTAAACGGGTCAAGGGTCAACGCCATCTACAACCACACCTTTAGCGGCCTGCGAAGGTTAGAAATTTTGCACCTTGAGGATAACCTATTGAAAGAGATTAAAGGTTTCGAGCTGCAGTGTCTGGTAGAGCTGAAAGAACTTTATTTGCAAAACAACAAATTGCAGTACCTTGACAACAGGACGCTAATGGAGCTGAAAAAATTGGAAGTTGTTCGCCTTGATGGAAACCGCCTGCATAATTATCCCGTTTGGCAGCTCTCTTTCAACAATTACCTGGTAAGAATCACTCTGGCCGACAACAATTGGTCATGCCACTGCCAATATATGCGCCATTTTCGCACCTGGCTGCAGCAGAATTTGGCCAAAGTGTCCGACGCCGCGCGCATCTCATGCGTACTCCGCGTGAAAAATGAAGGCGAATCGATTTCAAAACAACTCGGACCAAAATTTACAGATTTCAACAACACGGCTTGCAGCTCAATGCTGATTGGTGGCGAATTCTTGGATTCTGAGTTCGACCAGTCAGTGACCATTCGCGCCCTTCGTGATTATCTGCCCTTTGCCCTCGCACTGCTGGTGGCCGTCACGGTCGCCTCGTGCCTAATTTTTATGGCCGCCTATCACCGCCGCGAGCTTCGTCTGTGGATGTACAGTCGGTGCGGCGTCCGATTGTGCTACCGTTCTAACGCAAATGGCTCGGTTGTGGACGAGGACACGAACCGCCTCTTCGACGCTTACATTGCTTACAGCCTCAAGGACGAAACGTGGGTGTTGCAAATGCTGGCCACCGGACTGGAGCCGCAGTACCATCTTTGTCTCCACTACAGGAATTTCAGCGCCAGCTCGTACGTGGCCGACACTATTCTGGAGGCGGTGGAGTCATCGAGGAGGACGGTGCTCATCCTTTCGCCACAATTTCTCACCTCCGAGTGGGCCAGGTTTGACTACAAGTCGGCTATGCGAGAGGCCCTGCAACGAGAGGCGCGCAAAAGTAAAAAGTCACCTCGGCGTCTAATCGTTATCTTCCTCACAGACGTGCCCTCCCGTGACCTCGACCCTGACCTTCGCATGTATTTGAACAGCGCTGCCTTGGTGCTCAAGTACGGTGACCGACGTTTCTGGGAAAAATTGCGCTCTGCTCTGCCGGCTCCACGAACTGGCAAAAATGAAGACCCCAAGCCAAGAAATGGCACTTTGTGTTGCTGCGCTGCCAAACAAGAGCCGAGCGCCGCCGGGGCCCGGGCCCTTCATTTGGACACAAGTCGCGTAGTGTACGAGTACTCTAGCATGGTGGGGCCGCCGCCACCCCTGCCAGACGCCTACGAGCAAATCGGCCCACCCTCAACCTACCACACCCTGCGGAGAGAGCCGCCAGCGAGGGACCTGTGGGCGTAGCATCACACCATAGCAGGTAGGAAAATACATTTTTATTTCCATAATTCGAATTTATTTTCAACACTGGCATGTTATTTTTAATTTGAAATATTTATTCAAATTAATATCCTTTCATATTATATGGAGTGGCATTTAAATATCAATAAGCAATTATTCCCTTGAGCGCTTAAGCTCGCAGCTTTTTATTTTATATATATTATCTGAAAATAGCGTAGCATCACCCCATAGCTGGTTGGAAAATATAAATATTTATTTCCATAATTCCGATTTTATTTTAAAAACTAGGATTTATTTTAAATGTTGAATGTTTATTCAAATTAATTTCTTATATATTATATGGAGTGTGCATTTAAATAGCAAAAGCAATTATTCCCTTGAGCGTTTCAGCTCGCAGCTTTTTATTTTATATTATCTGAAAAGCGGATGTTGTAAGTACGGAATGAAATATCCTGCTGCTCTCATTTGTCTCAAGCGTTGCAAGAAAAGAAAAATAATCTCCCTCTCCGCTGGCACAAGATAAAGTCTTTGTTTTGTGTGGATATTCCATTTCTCTTTATACGTTTCTATATATACAAAGATCCGCCGCCTCTTGCAACAAAAACAGAAAGTCTGCTCTCATTTAGCGCCATTTGCAAAAGGAAAATTAAAAGCAAGAGCAATTTAATGGCAATTTAATATGAAAACAGCAGCGGCGGCGGAGCTTCGCTTTGGTGCACAACGAAGGGGCTCTCTTTATCGAGAAAATTATAAATGCCAGCACCCTATGTGAAGGAATGAGCTGCCTTGGAAACGACACATTCATATTATACAGTCCCTTTAAAATGGGGCGCACTCGTGTTTTTGTCACCCGCGCGCTGTATGTGTAGCAAATGATTGTATCACATCATTCATACACCAAAGTAGACGAGAGCGATTCTGCGGCACGCGCTCCTCGCTGTTTTACAATTTCATCTGCCGCCGTCGCTGGTTCTCCGAGCGAGGGGAGGGCGGCGGGGAGGCGCCTCAGAAGTTATTTGGCGCCACTGCCTTAAAGTGGATGTGCGCACCTTTTCAAATGCACTCATGCGGAATATTTGGAAAGTTGTGCAAATGGAAATTCCTTATAAAGCTCTCTCCGCCGTCGGCAGGCTCATATAAATGAAACCCCATCATTGTTCAGTACATATTTATTTGACACGCAAGCCTCGCTCGCGGATGTAAATTACGCTGCAAAAAAAATTTTAAAAAAAATGTGTATCTCATTCAAACAAATATTTATTTAATTGAAAGGGGTGCGCGATTTGAAAAAATATTCGGCTTTTAAAAAAAACATGGCTGCAGCCCGCAGCCGAAATATGTAGAGCAGGATATTGGATATTGTTTTTTCTTAAACAATAAAAAAACGAACAAAACCTATTGAGGCAAAGCCGAATTTAAATTCAAATCACCCAAAAGTTTATATTTTCATCTCATTGTAATTTGATTTTATTACCTAAAGTGATCCACCCTAAAAAAATTCAGCACATTTCTTTTTCAAGCAGAGAAAAATGGCATTATTTCATTTCGTCCGCTTCTTTTGGTGTTTTCGTATGCGCGGGTCGCCCACTGCAGAATATCAAATGGCAGGCATAAAACGATTCTGACAATGAAAGATCTCGCGCAGGCTGCAACAATTTGTCAGTTTGCGTGCGGATGAGAAAAACTCGCACTTCTCTATACGCCGGCGCCTTTTCTGTCTCACTCACACTTTCTGGTTGGCTCGCAGGAAAGGCTGAAAAATACCAAAGGGAGAAAAGCATCCAGAGGGATTCTTTATAAACGTGAAATCGTGAGATGAGAGACGTAGTGACCACCCCGGGATGTGCGATCACCGCGCGGTTGCAACTCTTTTTTTCTCTAATGCCGGTGAGAAAAATGTCGTTGATCTCGGAATAAACCTAAAGAGACACACTCTTGCGACCTTGGTCGGACGGGCGTTTTGATATTTTTTATGAGTGCGCTCGCAGCGGGGAGCGAATGATGAATTAAAGAGTCGGCGGCTTGCCTTTGCTGATTGCCGCAAAAGGGAGTGCAGTCGCAGCTAGTTAGTTCTTTCTAGGTCCTCGCGCTCAATGAAGCGGCAGAGCATCCAACCAACGATCCTAATTGCACAGCCTCTCATTGCTCGGTCATTAGCACTTGAGTGTTCGTCGTGTGTCTTTCTGGCTCTTTTTTGCCACTATTAAAGGAGAGATAGATGTATTGCTCTCGGAGAAAATCGAGGGGACAATTCGTTTAGTCTCACCCTTGCGACAAGGGGCTATACCATGGGGTGTATTGGTCTGCAGGAGAAATATTCATACTTTTTTATTAATGTTGTTTATTTGCGCAAATTGTTACAAATACATTGTTTAATTTCATTTGTTAAAAACAATATATTTCACTAAAAGGAATCGTTGGGGGAAAAAAACGATACCACCACAAGAAAGAATTTTGTTAAAATTTCCGAGATCAAAAACACCCCCCATCAAGCCTCTTCATTAAATATAAAATTTGATTTTTTTTTTAAGAAAATGTGTTTCTAAATATTTTTCTTTTCTATCAAGAAAAAAATAATTTAATAAAATGTTCCCTTGTCAAGACATACACACTGCTAACTAAGCCCGTTTTAAAAAAAAAATTTAAAAAAAATTCTGTGAGAATGAGATAATACTGGAAATCACATTATTTCCGTTCAAGGCCACACAAGGATTTTTTGTTGTCAAGTGAGCATCGAATTAATATAAAAAGTGCGGCGGCATAATAAAAGAGATCCATCATCTCATTGTAATAAAAATAGGAAGGGCGCGCAACTCTCAAGATATCTGAGCAGATTAGAGTGAGCACGCCGCGTTTGGGGTGACACATTCCTCGATCCTCCTCCCTCTCTGGGGATCCAGCCCTGCGTGCGCGCTTTTATTTCGAGGAGAGAGAGAGAGAGAGAGAGAGAGATAGAGGCAGCTGAAATGAGACCGGCAGATTCAATCAAATTTCATGCGCCACGGCCGGCATTCGAATAAAGCGAACGAGGATCAAAAGCGTGTCCAATTGCAGAAACTCGGAGAGGATGAAAATCGAGTAACTAGCTGCGAGCAGCATTCGACACACACGCTGCCTGCATTTAAAAAAGCAACGAGACGCTCAGCTTTTTTCGTACCCCTGCGCCAGCTGCATTCGGAATTATTTCAGCCTCGGACGTAAAAGCAGGATGAATGATATTGCTCGTGAGTTTTGTACTGATTTTTATTACTCTGGAAAAGTGCAAGTGCAGTGCTTTCCGGCTCGAAAGTTTTCACAATGAATCATCGTCACCAAAGTAGTAAAATGCCAATTTTAATCGTGGCTCATAAAACTTTTATTGGAAAGAGGCCCATTTATTTCTGGTATGTGGTCCGCTTGAATCAACTTTCATGAAGTGGATTCATTATTCTTTAATGAAAAAGGTTTAAAAAAGGAAAGGGATGGATATTAATCCAAGCAAATTTCGTAGCAAAACAGCATATAAAGTTCCTATGTTTGTAAATAAAATTATAGAAAAAATACTCCATCTGTATTCTAAAATTTACATTTGCGCGCCGTAAATTTTATTTTCAGCAGTAGAAGCTTTCTATGCTTCCCGCTCTATATATTTTTTGCATTCGCATTTTTCCATTTAATGCACGAGAGAAGAAAACAATAAATTTCACACTTCTCTCGTCTTGAGTTTTTCTTGAAAGAGCCAAACAACGACGCCAGGCCAATGGAAGCAAAAAACTATACACATTTTATTCGTACCAGGCGGCCCGCCTGGCCCGCTAAGAAAGTGATAAATTTCATGCAGCGATGCAGCTATTGCTACACATGGAAGATAAAAAAAAACTTTTGTTCTCTCTGCTCTATGCAATATTAAAATCATCCAGTTTGTTTTCTATTTGGAAATTTAGGAAAACAAACAAGAGAAACAGAGAAATCATAAATTGTATAAACTTCTGAATCTTCTGATTCTTACAAAATCAGCTCATACAATATACCAATTTTCTCAACGGTTATATATAACAAGTTTTTGATCTAATTTCAACTTCCTGAAGAGGCAACTCCAACGTTTTAACGAGGCAGGCGGGACTGGCAGCGGGTGAAGAAGGGCATATTACGTGTGGATTGTTTAATGTATTTGATTGCGTCACTTTGAGGAGAACACGGCGGCTGCGGGAATTATGTATTTGGCCTCTGTTATTATTTTGTTCTAACTCACATACACGACTCTCGTCGGCGCATTATCTTTTCAACTCCTTTGGCCCTCACGCGCGCGTGAAAAGAGCTCCTCTCTTGTTTTTGTGTTGCTCTCGGCGGCGCGATGCTCTGCAATTTTGAGGTTATTATGAAAGATTTGTACGCCTCGTGGTAAGTAGAAACAATAACACGCGCGAACGGCTTTGCTTTTAATGCGGCTGGAAACACTGTGCCGTTGTTAATTATGATTTCGCCGCCAGATAGCAATTTGCTCTTTAAAGGCGCCGCCGACTTCTTATTCAATTACAATGGGCTTTGCCTAAGTGAGTTCGCTAGAAAACTTGGTTGTTTATAAACAACTTTGCCACCAAACTACAAAATATGAGCCGTATTATATTATTTTGAACCAAAATTATTTATTTTTAATTTTTACTTTTTAAATATAATCAACACGGTTTAAAAATGCCCAATAAGGCTGCCATTTCGTATCTATTTATCAAATCAGCAAATATTTGAGGTTCGCCATTAACAATTTGAGCCATGTGTACATAATTCTCATCGGCTTATTGGATCCAATGGTCTGTTTGATATTTTTGTCCATGCACTGCCGGTGATGTTTGCCGTGCAACAAATATGTACCTAAAGCGTCGGCCAGTCCATCCATTAATTCGCACAACAATGCTGTGGCACGGAATAATAATTTAGCGCAATAATGGGTCGCTGCCTCCTTCACGAGTATGATGTGCTAACGGCCGGCGCAATTAATCTTAATCAGAAGATAGTCGAGGCATTAGTTAGGACGCCGAGCTT